CTTCTTATTATCCATACTCTCTGTTCACACACACACACACACACACACACACACACACACAGCAGCAGCAGTAGCACAAACAGTCATAAATGGAGAGTAAATAAATTATAAATTATATAAATTATCTCTTTACTACTAGTTTTAACATGAAATAAACATTGCATGCCTCATGTAATCGCTCAATCCGCTCAATCAGCGCGAAAAGACATCAATAATTGATGACATCAAGACATCAACAGCTTGACACGGCAAGTCATTAGTGTCCACAGCCAGTTAGTATGCTAGAGAAATGAAGTCTGGAGAGCATTTCATTATATTTTACTTTACCTATTAGAGGTGTCTTATTATTTTATGTTTAAATAAATCTGTTATGAAACAAGTTATGACAGCTAATGTGTAAATGAATATTTCAACAACATATAGGCTAGAAATGTTGTAATTTAGAAGTTAATTTAAAACTGCATTATGTGCAATTTACATGTTTGCATACAATTTTTATTTTTTTTTTAAATTTGAGTGTTGATTATTATATTTAAAAATAAATGGTTATTAAATTTAAGTTTGGGCTTTGTTGTTAATTTTTTTTTTCTTTTCTTTTTTTCTTTACCTTATAGTAATGTCAAAAGGCTCCCTACAGTTTAGAGCATAAACTGGGGTAGATTTTTATTCCTAAGAAAATTTGAAATTATTTAAAGAAAGAACAGTCTGTTCAGTAAATCACTGTTTAATAATAAAAATAAAAAAAGAAGCAATTTATGTTTAGTTTTCCCTCTCTTGCTGAACCAAAACCATACCAAACCGTGACCTCAAAACTGAGGTACGTACCGACACGTCATGTTTGTGTACCGTTACACCCCTAGTGTACACCAATTTTTGCCATGGCCAATTTTGCTCCCACCAGTTCAAGTAGCTCACAGCAGGGGTGTATTGAAATCACTGAGCAAAAATTTAATTTTATTCATGAGTGTTGTAATTTTTGGTAATCAGGTACTGAAGTATTTATTTATTTATTTTATTGGTTGTGGAAAGCGACTGTAGCAGTGCATACAGCTCACAAACGAACTCTACTTCTCACTATCCATTTAACTGAAATAAAAAATATACATATTAAATAAAATGCATACAGTGGGTACGGAAAGTATTCAGACCCCCTTAAATTTTTCACTCTTTGTTATATTGCAGCCATTTGCTAAAATCATTTAAGTTAATTTTTTTTCCTCATTAATGTACACACAGCACCCCATATTGACAGAAAAACACAGAATTGTTGACATTTTTGCAGATTTATTAAAAAAGAAAAACTGAAATATCAAATGGTCCTAAGTATTCAGACCCTCTGCTCAGTATTTAGTAGAAGCACCCATTTGATCTAATACAGCCATGAGTCTTATTGGGAAAGATGCAACAAGTTTTTCACACATGGATTTGGGGATCCTCTGCCATTCCCTCTTGCAGATCCACTCCAGTTCTGTCAGGTTGGATGGTAAACGTTGGTGGACAGCCATTTTTAGGTCTCTCCAGAGATGCTCAATTGGGTTTAAGTCAGGGCTCTGGCTGGGCCATTCAAGAACAGTCACAGAGTTGTTGAGAAGCCACTCCTTCGTTATTTTAGCTGTGTGCTTAGGGTCATTGTCTTGTTGGAAGGTAAACCTTAGTTCCAGTCTGAGGTCCTGAGCACTCTGGAGAAGGTTTTCATCCAGGATATCCCTGTACTTGGCCGCATTCATCTTTCCCTCGATTGCAACCAGTCGTCCTGTCCCTGCAGCTGAAAAACACCCCCACAGCATGATGCTGCCACCACCATGCTTCACTGTTGGGACTGTATTGGACAGGTGATGAGCAGTGCCTGGTTTTCTCCACACATACCGCTTAGAATTAAGGCCAAAAAGTTCTATCTTAGTCTCATCAGACCAGAGAATCTTATTTCTCACCATCTCGGAGTCCTTCAGGTGTTTTTTAGCAAACTCCATGCAGGCTTTCATGTGTCTTGCACTGAGGAGAGGCTTCCGTCAGGCCACTCTGCCATAAAGCCCCGACTGGTGGAGGGCTGCAGTGATGGTTGACTTTCTACAACTTTCTCCCATCTCCCGACTGCATCTCTGGAGCTCAGCCACAGTGATCTTTGGGTTCTTCTTTACCTCTCTCACCAAGGCTCTTCTCCCCCGATAGCTCAGTTTGGCCGGACGGCCAGCTCTAGGAAGGGTTCTGGTCATCCCAAACGTCTTCCATTTAAGGATTATGGAGGCCACCGTGCTCTTAGGAACCTTAAGTGCAGCAGAAATTTTTTTGTAACCTTGACCAGATCTGTGCCTTGCCACAATTCTGTCTCTGAGCTCTTCAGGCAATTCCTTTGACCTCATGATTCTCATTTGCTCTGACATGCACTGTGAGCTGTAAGGTCTTATATAGACAGGTGTGTGGCTTTCCTAATCAAGTCCAATCAGTATAATCAAACACAGCTGGACTCAAATGAAGGTGTAGAACCATCTCAAGGATGATCAGAACAAATGGACAGCACCTGAGTTAAATATATGAGTGTCACAGCAAAGGGTCCGAATACTTAGGACCATGTGATATTTCAGTTTTTCTTTTTTAATAAATCTGCAAAAATGTCAACAATTCTGTGTTTTTCTGTCAATATGGGGTGCTGTGTGTACATTAATGAGGAAAAAAAATTAACTTAAATGATTTTAGCAAATGGCTGCAATATAACAAAGAGTGAAAAATGTAAGGGGGTCTGAATACTTTCCGTACCCACTGTAACCTCTAAATATGGTGGTTTTTTTCTGGCGGTATTTTGTGATTTATGGAGCGATTAAAAGAGAGATCCCCTCAGTAAAAGCCTTTAACTCTAATATGTAAAAAAAAAATTGGACCAGGCTTTATGCAATGTTCAGTTTATTATTCTGGAAATATATACACACACACACACACACACACACACACACACACACACACACACACAAATACTTACACCAGCTGGAGAGGACAGTGAAAGAATGAGGCGTTTCACATTGCATCATTCTCCCTTTCTCACACATGGCACATACAATTTTTGCCTCCTCTGTGATGATCAAATTTCTATTGTATTATTCCATTGTTATAAAGTTTGTAGTTCTTCTGAGATTTTGAGCCACACCAGTGAAGTGTAAACTTCATATTAAATAAATGTTCTTGGGCAAAATTAAAAATAAATAAATAAATAAAATAAGAATATAAACATAATGTTAGATAGATATGTCAGTGCAGTGAATAATAGTCACATATTTAACTGGGTATTTATAAAACTATTTCCTAATTTTAACTTTTTTTTGTCCTGCTTTTACAGTCATTCCCAAAACCCTTCTCTTCTTATTATCCATACTCTCTGTTCACACACACACACACACACACATACACACACACACACAGCAGCAGCAGTAGCACAAACAGTCATAAATGGAGAGTAAATAAATTATAAATTATCATTCCTTCCTCTTTACTACTAGTTTTAACATGAAATAAACATTGCATGCCTCATGTAATCGCTCAATCAGTGTTTCAACCGCGAAAAGACATCAATAATTGATGACATCAAGACATCAACAGCTTGACACGGCAAGTCATTAGTGTCCACAGCCAGTTAGTATGCTAGAGAAATGAAGTCTGGAGAGCATTTCATTATATTTTACTTTACCTATTAGAGGTGTCTTATTATTTTATGTTTAAATAAATCTGTTATGAAACAAGTTATGACAGCTAATGTGTAAATGAATATTTCAACAACATATAGGCTAGAAATGTTGTAATTTAGAAGTTAATTTAAAACTGCATTATGTGCAATTTACATGTTTGCATACAATTTTTATTTTTTTTTTAAATTTGAGTGTTGATTATTATATTTAAAAATAAATGGTTATTAAATTTAAGTTTGGGCTTTGTTGTTAATTTTTTTTTTCTTTTCTTTTTTTCTTTACCTTATAGTAATGTCAAAAGGCTCCCTACAGTTTAGAGCATAAACTGGGGTAGATTTTTATTCCTAAGAAAATTTGAAATTATTTAAAGAAAGAACAGTCTGTTCAGTAAATCACTGTTTAATAATAAAAATAAAAAAAGAAGCAATTTATGTTTAGTTTTCCCTCTCTTGCTGAACCAAAACCATACCAAACCGTGACCTCAAAACTGAGGTACGTACCGACACGTCATGTTTGTGTACCGTTACACCCCTAGTGTACACCAATTTTTGCCATGGCCAATTTTGCTCCCACCAGTTCAAGTAGCTCACAGCAGGGGTGTATTGAAATCACTGAGCAAAAATTTAATTTTATTCATGAGTGTTGTAATTTTTGGTAATCAGGTACTGAAGTATTTATTTATTTATTTTATTGGTTGTGGAAAGCGACTGTAGCAGTGCATACAGCTCACAAACGAACTCTACTTCTCACTATCCATTTAACTGAAATAAAAAATATACATATTAAATAAAATGCATACAGTGGGTACGGAAAGTATTCAGACCCCCTTAAATAAAATGCATACAGTGGGTACGGAAAGTATTCAGACCCCCTTAAATTTTTCACTCTTTGTTATATTGCAGCCATTTGCTAAAATCATTTAAGTTAATTTTTTTTCCTCATTAATGTACACACAGCACCCCATATTGACAGAAAAACACAGAATTGTTGACATTTTTGCAGATGGGCTGAATACTTTCCGTACCCACTGTATATATTAAAACGGGGAGAAAAAATATATAAACAGTCTCTTTTTTTTATTCTTCAGCCAAGTGTGCACATTTATCAATAGAAATAATCTTGAAAATGGCCTGAAAATAGCAGATTTTCTGTACTGTTTACTTTAAAGTAGATTAATTTGTAAGGGTTGATGACTTTCAATCTGTTTTAATGCTCATTTTTATATTATATCTGGAGTTCTCAGATATTTTGAGAGCTGCACTGACATACTCCTTCATTAATGTTTTCACTGGATGTCATTGTTATCTAATATCCTCTCTCTTCCAGGCCCGCTATAAGCAGAGTTTGGATCCTACAGTTGACGAGGTGAAGAAATTGTGTACTTCACTGCGGAGAAATGCCAAGGAGGAACGTGTTCTCTTTCATTATAATGGCCATGGAGTGCCTCGACCCACTGTCAATGGAGAGATCTGGGTCTTCAACAAGGTAAGGTAAAAAGAACCAGGAAAAAATGGGTTTAGTGAGCAGTGCTGAATAGTAAACTTATTTCAATCTGTCTGCACAGCAGTTACCCACAGTAGTTTGTTTACTCGTGTACTCTCCTTAAGTTCTTAAATTAAAATGAATTTAATGAGTTAGTTTTGGGCATAAACTGAGTTGTCAAAAACAGTGGTAGATTTAGGTATGGGCGACATGGGCAACCGCTTAGAACGGCATCTTGCCAGGGGCGAAACGGGGTGCCTGTGCAAGAAAAAAAAGCAGAATACGTGATCAGGGTTTTTTTTTTTTTTTTTTTTACAAAATATGGTGTAACCATGTGGGTCAATTAACCTGGACGGGACTCTGTGTGTGCGCCCAGTAGACTTATGTTTAGCCTTACTATGCACATTACAAACAAGTCTGCGAGTAGCAAATACGGGTGTCGTGTCATAAAATATTTTTAATACTGCTGAATTTGTAAGATGATCACAAATTAATTGAATAAAAACACTGTGTTATGCTTTAATTTTGTTGTTATTCAAACAGCGAATACATTATATACAGAAATTGAACAAAGAACATTTAATTTATCATATAGAACATTATCAATGACTTAAGTCTAGCGCGCATTTAAGCACTCTCAAAAAAACTCACATTATAATCACTGAAGCTGTCTACACTGTGAAATGAATCTCTTGCTTGCATCGCACGTGCATCTGCACTTGGTTGTTTCCGATGTGAGAATTCGCAAGAGTGCAAAATTCAGTCAGCGAGCGCACACATTGAACAAAACAGGCGTTTCAGCAATGACTCCTCTGAACACCTCTGATTGGCCACTGCATTCATAAGCTCAAACATAATCGTTTGTGATTGGTTATAATGTGGGCCGCTGTTAAAAAAAATGCATAAAAAGAAATATGCAGCATGGGCAGATCTAAATTTTATGCCGCAATGATACTTTTCTTTTTCACGTTATTCACTTTATTTCATTTTAATTTTTTATTTCAAGTCAGTTTCACTAAGGTGACTTAATCAGGGAGAGTTGGAAGGTAAGCCATCAGGAGTCCAAATTGGGAAAAAAAGAAGAGGCGAAATGTGAAAAGATAAACGTAATCTATGCAGATATGATATATATATATATATATAATTGCTTATATATCACTTATGCTATGCAATTATACATAGAGCAGCAGCATTCCTTTGTCTGACCATCTAGCTTACATAACCAGACAGTAAAATGTGATTTTGTAATATAGAATGTATTTTTTTTTAAACAAACGTAATATCACTCACTTTATTAATGTTTTTGCTGTACAGCTTTTTTTTAATTATTTGCCTGAATTTGTAATTATATATGCACTGCATATATCAGGGGTCGGCAACCAGGCACATGTGCCATTTTTGGCACGCTGAGGGAAAATCAATGGCAAGCCAAGCACATGCAGATGAATGCTATATTTGGTTACAAAATTAATATTATTTGTTTTTCAAGAAATGTCCTGGTCGGATTAGTGTGAAAAATAACCTAATAATCATTAATAAACTTTACATATTTAATTAGTTATAGCTTTCACTGTGCTGTAGACGTCGTCACGTGTACAGTTTGAGTGTCCAGTTTGCACTCACCGCGGTGCTGAACTCCAGGCGCAGTTGACAATGGCGACACAAAAGAAAGCAAAAATTGACGTTCGTTTATTTCAGCCATCTTGGAGAGAAGAATATGATTTTATTTTTCAAAAAGACCATGCCGTTTGCACTTTATGTTTAGAAAATGTTAAGCGCCACTTTGAAACTAAACACGAGAAATCCTTTAAAGATCAGGCAGACAGGGCAGAGTCCATCAGATGCGCAGTGTCCTATTATGAAAAGCAAACCAGCACTCTCCATGTTTTTGTTAGACCTAAAAATAATGCTACTGAATTGTTACCGAATTGCTCATTGCATTGCGAAACAAGTAAACCGTTCACTGACAGAGAGAATACATCAAGGATCCTTTTCTCTCTAGCGCAGAGGTTTTATTTGATGGCTTGCCTAACAAAGTCACTATCAAATTTAGAATCAAAGATATCCCTGTGTCAGCCAGAACTGATCAATAATTTTGACCCATACAATGTATTTTTGGCTATTGCTACAAATATACCAGTGCGACTTATGACTGGTTTTGTGGTCCAGGGTTACATATATGCAAGCAAATCTTATTTAGGGGTGGCAGATGGGGTGGTTCATTCAGGGCACCATGCAAGCTTTAATCGCCACTGGTCAAAAAGAATATCTTTCATTCTCTCTCTCTTTCAGAACTACACACAGTACATCCCACTCTCAATCTACGACCTACAGACGTGGATGGGAAGTCCCTCCATCTTCGTGTATGACTGCTCGAATGCAGGGATCATTGTCAAGTCATTCAAACAGTTTGCATTGCAGAGGGAGCAGGAGCTGGAGGTGTGTGATATTACACACACACACACACAAACACTATATAATAGAGGTTTGATAGAACTGGCTTTTTTTTTTTTTAGACTGAGAAAGTTTTGAGTTAACTTACAGGATGTTTTTGTAGTACAATGACCTCTTATAGCCTATGTCAAAAGATCAAGGCAATTATGCTTCCTCAGTTCATGACCCCTTTAAATGGGAGTGGGTGGTGATTCTGTCTCTCAAGCTCAAAAAAGGGCAAAAAGGCAAAACAAAAAAAACCTTTTCAGTACATTAAAAGTAGTTCACAGGGATTAAAGTTCTCCGTCGCTACGACGGATTTCCGTTAATTGCAGCAAGTCTACGACAGATTTCCGTCAATTGGAAAAAATGAGGGGAAAAGAAACATGTAGCGCGTTGTTGTTGTTGTTCTGCCGGTGTGCTACCCTGTCAGATTTTGCTACCTCCCATTAAAACAGATGGTAGCATAATTCGATAGCAAAAAGTGCTACCTATCAGATTTTGCTTCCAGCATGATATTAATAAGGTGTGAGGCTTTATTAACATGTACACCTACCCCAAACCTAAACCTACCCTTACAGTAGGATAAATACAGTGTTGGTAGCATAATCTGATAGGTAGCATTATTTGTCAGAATTCTACTTCTTATTATATTGTTTTAAATATAAATTTTAAAAAGCTTATAAACATACATTTTTGAATTTGACATAGATGAAAATGATGCCATTACAAAGGTAAAAAGAAAGTCAAAAGTCACCTCGTATTAGGAAGGATAATTTTTGATCAGAATTTCTGATTATTGATCATGCTCCTAAATGTTTTAAATTAGGAGGACAAGTGCTCCTAAAAAGAAAAGTAAGCGTAGAGCCCATAGACTGTATAAAAACAGGTAGAGCCATATGTAACAGTATATTATTATAATGTAATGTAACTGTATATTAGATCCGTGCATGAGGTCTTAAAGAGACAACAGCCTAAATAAACCTCCTGGCTATTAATAACAATTCTACTCATTCCAAAGACTATAGAATGCCCTTAAAGGGACTTTGTCTTATTCCCGCAGGTTCCGCGCTTATAACGTGATGACAGATGACGGAACATATCATTTGCATGTGCTTTTGAGTCTTGAGAACTCACTCACGCATTCTTATTTTCTATGTGCCCACAGATCGCGATAAGGAGAGTGACAACTTTTAATAGTTATTAAGGGAGTTTGCAAATGTGATATTGATTTAATACAACAGTTCAATAGACAAGTACTGCCTGATTTTGCTCTTTCTTCAACGAAAATAGTTCCAAATATAGTAACAGCTCAGCCGCTGCGCATCTGGAAGCAAACACAGCTGAGTTTCATTCATTCAATGAAAGTGCGTTTTTGAACGAATCTAGTGAGTCAGTGATTCATGATTACCCATTCATAAAGACAGTCACTTGCTTCATTCCTGAATGAATCAGCAGTTTGAACGAATCAATTGAATGAATGATTCAGTGATAAAATCAGTGAATTGCCGCCACCTGCTGGCGGATTTAGTTTCATTTTTTGCTTCTTTTTTGCAAGTAGAATGTCTTATTCTACTTCTTATTATATTGTTTTAAATATAAATTTTAAAAAGCTTATAAACATACATTTTTGAATTTGACATAGATGAAAATGATGCCATTACAAAGGTAAAAAGAAAATACCCCTGTAAGGAGTCAAATGTCACCTCGTATCAGGAAGGCAAATTTTTGATCAGAATTTTTGATTATTGATCAGAAGGTGCTCCTTAATTTTTTTTAATTAGGAGGACAAGTAAAAAGAAAAGTAAGCGTAGAGCCCATAGACTGTATAAAAACAGGTAGAGCCATATGTAACAGTATATTATTATAATGTAATGTAACTGTATATTAGATCCGTGCATGAGGTCTTAAAGAGACAACAGCCTAAATAAACCTCCTGCTGCCTTTCATTATCTAGTGCTATTTTACAGTTGAATAGATTATAGTTAGACCTAACTGAAAACATTT